TGCTCTTAGGAGCCCTGTACCCACCACTGGGAAGAATGTTTGCTAGGACCTTGACTTTTCTTTCTAGTAAGACAGTGGCTTGTCGGCTTTCCTCCTCACACCAACATCACTTCATTGTATCTTAAGTGTCTACTAACTTGTCTCTCTTGACTGGAAAGCAAAGATACAACCTTTCTTTCTCACACCATCATTCTCTTTTTGAGATGGGTTCTCGCTGGGTTGCCCAGTCTGGTCTCAAACCCTTGGGCTCTATCAGTCTTCCTGCCTCAGCTTCCTGAATAGCTGGGACTACAGGCGCCTGCCAAAGACTGTCTCTGGCTGGGCTCTATGTCTCTAGTATCTGGCCCAGGGCTTAGCACATAATAGGCTCTTAATAATATTTGTGGGAAGGAAGGAAGAACAGAAGAGGGGAGAAAGCCCAGCCATGCTGGACATGGTGGTGCACACCTATAATCTCATTGACTTTGGAGACTGAGGCTGGAGATTTGCAAGTTTGAGGCCAGTCCTGGCAACTTGATCAAAAGGGCTGGGGATGTAGCTCAATGGTAAAGTGTCCCCAGGTTCAATCCCTAGTACTGGGGGAAAAAAAAAAGGCCCAGTCTGTTGAGGGATTAGTACAGATCACCTTAGTAACTAAAGAGAAAAGCTGAACAGCCTTTAAGCCTGTACAGTGAGTAATGGAGAGCAAGACCCTTCCATCTTTTGGCATTGGTACCAGTGAGTTAGAGGCTCAAGTCCTACAGCTGGATTAGAAAGTTCTTTTTCAATATATTTTCCCCTTGGATATAAATAATATATGATTATTGTAGAAATTTTGCAAAAGTTCAGAGAATAAATATCACTTATATATAATTCAAGCACTCAGGGACAACCACTGTTAACATTTAGCCTTTTTTAGTGTTAGGGAAGTTTTAAACTTTAAATTAACTTTTAGCCCTTTTTCTTTGCATCTAGATTGAAAGAGTTTTTTTAAAGATTAAATTGGGGCTGCAGTTGTGGCTCAGTGGCAGAGCGCTTGCCTAGCATGTGTGAGCCACTGGGTTCGATCTTCAACATCACTTAAAAATAATAAAATAAAGGTATGAAAAATAAAATATTTTGGGGCAGGGTCTATAGCTCAACGGTAGAGTGCTTTTCTCACACATGCAAGGCACTGGGTTTGATCGTCAGCTCCACATAAAAATAAATAAAAGATATTGTGTCCATCTACAACTAAAAAGAAATACAATGGTATTATTTAAAAAAAATTAAATCAGGACTGCTTGTGAGTACAAAGAAGGCAGATTACAATTGGAAAAGTACTCATCAACTGCAATAAAAATATGAGATTCTTTTTAAAATATTTTGCTCATCTGGGCAATCAAATCCTCAGTTATCGATGCCTGTTCTGCTGCAGGTGCATGAGAGCTGTTGGGTGCTTTCCTCACCCCCACTGCTGCCTCTCTGTGAGCACTTTTCCCTTCCCAGGATGTGGCCAGGCTGGAACCCCTGCAGTGTCATCATCCAAGGATTGTTCAGGATTGACATGAACTGAATGAGAGTCAGTGCCCAGAATCAGGTTCTTCCCCAAGCTTGTGAAATGTCACTCAGATAACATCACCCTTGAAAGAAAGCAAGGACAGTTACTAATGTATCCCTCAGTATTGACCACTTTCTACATGCCAGTCACTGCACTAGGCATCACAGCTGCCAAGTGAAGAGACAGTCCTTGTTCCCAGGGAACTTGCAGCTTCGAAAGAGAAGAGAGAAGCCAACAATGGTCACGTGTTAGTCAGTTTTGGATCACTGTAACCACAGTACTCAACAAGAAGAATGTAGGAGAGGAGAAGTTTATTTTGGCTCAGGGTTCCAGAGGTTTAGTCCATGGTTGACGATTGCTCTGGGCCCCAGGTGAGGCAGGACCTTGTGGCACATGGGTGTGGCAGAGGAGCACTGCCTCATTGATGGCTGCCAGGAAGCAGAGAGAGAAGGAGAAAGGGGCATTATGGAAGATGAACCTTTCTTGGGCACAACCCAGGTGACCCATCTCTTCTAGTCACGCCTCACCTGCCTACAGTTACCACTCAGTCCATTCAAACTGGGATGGACTAATTAGGTTACAGTCCTCACAGTCCAATCATTGCACCTCTGATTTATTCCTGCATCAACACAAGAACTTTTGGGGACACTGCATATCCCAACCTTAATAGGTTATAGTGCGATATGATAATCAGTCACCACAGTAAAAGTGCAGTGTTGACCTAAAGAAGAGAGTGTTGATCCGAGGAGGTGTCGAGAAGAGGGTTGAGTTGAGTCTTAAAGGAAAAGTGGGAGGGTTTTTATGTGAACAGACAGAGCAGCATATCACTGTCTGAAGGCACGAAGCTGGGTGGGGACATGAAAGTGGTTTGGCATATCTGGAACTTGAGGCATTAGAGGTGCAAATGAGGCAAAAGGTAAAAAACCTGAATGACAGAACTTGAACTTTATCTTGAAGGCTAAGGCAAGTCATGGGAGATTGCTTCAGTTTTTGTTGTTGTGGTTTTTTATGTGTGTGGTTTTGTGGACTGAACCTAGGACCTTGTGCATACCAAGCAAATACTCTGCTACTGAGCTACTTCTCCAGACCCCATGGAGAGTTTTAATAAGAGTGGTTACACAGTCCTGCATACTTTTGGGAAAAATCAGAATAAAGGATGGATGGACGTAGGCTAGGTTGGAGGAGGGGTGTGGCTAGGGGCTTTCAGAACAAGTCAGCAAAAGAAGATAGGCAGATGTGCAAAAAAGCAAATCAGTAGAGACCAGAAGTACCTTAGTGGTAACCTAGGACTGGAAGTGGGAGCCAGGAACACCTGTAAATGGGTATGAGGGTTTTCTTGAGGTGATGCAAGTATAAACTATCTAAAAAATCAGTGAATTGTATACTTAAAATGACTGAATTATAAGGTGTGTAAATTATACTTCAATAAAACTCTTCAAAATGGAGGGGCAGACTTCTCATTTAGAGGCGAGATGTGAGAAATGTTGATAAAGGAGAATTTATGACGTAGACATTGCTTTTGTGAAATAGGATGGTCACCTCTCTATTCGGCTAGAGGTTCTAATTGTGCATCTACATTTTTAATAAAATGATGGTAACCCTGCCTTTTTCTAGGTAGATTTCAGAGCATGGATCTGCCCTTTACCGGCAGTACAGAATATCTGCCTCTGGATCCCTATCAGAAACCACATCTTCCAGATCACTGCCAGCACTCAGTTCTTATGAACTGAGTTGTGAGAGAAACAAAACAAAATATTTATGAAGGATTGCCTGAAGGATTTGTGGTCCTTTTATTTCTCTAGGTGCTGTGATTCAGCAATAGTTACTGAGTGTCAGGTGTTACGCTGGCAACACAGCAATGAATAAAGCAGTGTCCACTTGGATGGAGCGCATAGTCTAACAGTGGGAGCACGTGTTATTCACAGTCACAATAGCTATTGTGTTGGATTGCCAAGTGCATCGAGAGACATACAAAACAAGATCTGAAGGGTAATGCTGTTGTGGGGTGTGGCTATAGACACTGGTCCTCTGTGCATGCAGCTGGCACTGCTTTGTAGTGAAGCAGGCTTTTGAATCTGATCCTTGTAAATTCTGGGTTATCTGGGCCATACCTCATGCTGGGACCCCTTATAATTGTATGATTAAACTGTACATTGGCCTTATGGTATAATTTTAGATTGGCTCATGTTATAAGAAACAGCCATACAAGATTCACATTTACTTATTCAATAAGTGTAATAGAAGATGCAAACTTCAATATCGTACAGCATCCCCTTTGTTAAGACCCGCAAAGCAAGGGCTCTCTACTCACTATGTATTTGCCTTGATGTTTTGGTCTTCTGAGTTCCTCTGAAGCACCAGGTTTCCTCTTGCCTCAAGTCTCTGCACGTGGCCTTCTCTCTTCCTGGAGTTCCCATTCCATTTTTATCTGATTTGACCTTCACTTATCCTTCAGCTGTCAGTCCAGATGTCAGCTTCTTCAGGGAAACTTCCCTCTCCAGCACCCGTTCCCAGAAGGTCTTGTTCTGGTTCCCAGTACAAACTTCCATAACATTCTCTTCTTTTCTTTTATTTATTTTTTAAAAAATTTTATCAGTTTCCAGTTAAATAATTTGGTCTTTGGTTTCTGTCCTTTCCTAGACTGATAGCAGGGGGTCCATGGGGTAGATACCATGTTTTTTTTGTTGGCTGCTGTATCTCAAAGTCATAATGTAGCATCTTGCATTCAGTAGATGCCCCAAACATATGTCCTGAATATTTGAATGAATGAAAGAATGAATGCATTGTGGGCACTGGGTCTGGGAACTGTTCGTTTTCTCCCTTTTGCTTTGGCTTTTGGGGATGTTGTCATGCCCCCCTTCCTTCTGCCTGCAGTGTTTAAAGGCCCTCATGGCATGCAATTTGTGCACTAACGTTTCCCCTGTTATATAATGTTTTTTCTTTCTTTGACTTCTTCACTTCTTTATTTCAGTGTACTAAAAATTTCTGTGGGTCACTGTCAGTCTTTTGTGGGGAGGAATAATAAACAGTTGGGCATGTGCTTGCTGGCAGCGAGAGTGGCTGCCGTGACGGGTGCCTTAGAACAGCTTGGGTTTGGGGAAGGACATCTCTGTGAGGAAAAGAAAGGGAGAGATCTGTGGGGAAATGTTAGTGCTTTTAACCAAATGTGGGAGGAAGGTTTTATTTTACTTTGTTTTAATTTTATTTTCAGTAGGAGAAGTAAAAAGAAATTTTGCCCCCTAATCTCACAAGAAATGCCTCTGAAGAATTTGAAGCCTGTCCTGCCTTGAGACATTCTCCCATGGCAGAAGGCATGGGGTGCTGGGCTGGCTTGAGAGGGCTTGCTGGCCCAGTGGACAGGTGGGCATGGACCTCCATCCCAGCTGACTCTCCCCTGGGCAAGGTTTGGACAGAGCCAGCAGGAGCTTGTTGCCTTGTTGTGAGAAGGAGAAAGAAACAAATTTGTCCTCTTGTGTTGCAGATTCAGTGGTTCTTTCCTTTGACTCCGCTGGACAGACACTAGGCTCAGGTACCAATTCTTCCCCCTCTATCATCTTTTCAGCTCTCAATGCTGGCCATGTCTATAGAGGCCAGTATTGTGGGGGTCCTGGGGGAGGGCAAGGGATTGTCTGAGAATTGTGGGAGAGTCTCAAGGACTCACAGTACGGGAGAAGAGAGACACATCATCAAGAGCACTTTTCCTGCACAGAGGAGTTGCAGCAGATAGCTCATTTTTCACGCAGAGGGGTCTGGGTTCATATGAAAGGATGTCTGTTTTCTGTGCCCATGTCCTATCTCAGAGAGTGGGGCAGTGGGTATTGAGAGGCTTCAAGCTCTGCCCGTGATAACCATTAGGGCTCTCCTGCAGAATGCCAGGCTGTGAGAGCACCCCATTCTCCTGAGGACATACACTCCATTGCATGTTTGCCCGCATACCTCACGTACTCAGGTACAGACCTTTTTCCAGGTCAGGGTTCCACATGACTGTGCACTCATGCCAAATGCATATAGATGATGAACTTCTTCCCTTCCTTGGGTTTACAGTGCAGGGTATACAAATTGGCCACTACCTTATGACTAGACTCACCCAGGCCAGGGGAGCTTGGCTCTCCTGGGTCCAAGGAAGTTCACCTGCCCATGCCTCTGTGCTTTCTGGTTACAAGCAAGAAGAGTGGCTACGTTGAGCCCTCAACTTTCTGACCTTAAGAGAGCTTCTCTTGCATCAATCCTTTGTTTTTGGTAAAAATGGTGGGCCTCTTACTGGGGGTACTGCCTATGAATATCTTTGCTGGCCTGTTGAGGGCAGTTAATCTCTTTTGCTGTTACTTGAATGCAGTAGTTGAATGTCTTACAAAATAGCCATGAGGAACAGGCCATTGTGGTAGAGTGGACAAGAGGAAGGATATTCAGAGAATGTGATCACAGCCACCAGTATTCTGAGGACCTACTGTATGCCAATACTATGTTGGGAACTTTATGCACCTTATAGTTACCTATCACAATTTGAAGTTTTGTCATTTTTGATTATAGCAAAGAAACTCACGATCAGAAACATGACATGGCTGTTCAGGCCACCCATCTTCCTATGGCTCTAAAGCCCACTCTCTCCCCTTACCATCTTGCTGTCTCATACCTCATCTGCTTGAGGTGCCCTCACCAAAATACTGAGATGGGAAAAGTCACTTCAAGACAGAGGGGGCAGGCAAGAAGATTATTAAATAGATCCTAGAGTTGTATCTATTCATTATGGAAAAAGATTGATCAATTTTATTACATTAAAGAACTTCTATTAATCAAAAACTTTATTAAGAGAGAAAAGACAGAGTGAAAAAAATATATTTATAACACAATTAACTAACAAAGAACTTGTTTCCAGAACAAAGAACTATAAAAATCAATAGGAATGAAGAAATAGCCTAGTACAGATATGAGCAGACATCACAAAAGAGGAAATCCAAATGGCCAGTAAACTTATGAAAAAGTGTTCAGCTGCATTAGTGCTCTGGGAAATGCAACTTAGAATCACAGTGAGGTATCATGGCACATCTTCCAAACAGTAAAACCTGAAAAGCTCAGCAGCCCCCACATTGATGAGGACATGGTGGAGTGGAGACTCTTGAGTCTTCACTGGTTGAAGGACAAATTGGTACAGTCACTGTGGAAAAAATGATGATAGGATTTAGTAAAACTTGAATATACATGTACCCTGTCTCTTGGCAGTTCCTCCTCTAGGTATCTTACCTATAAAAATGGATGCTTATTATCACAATGAACCCTTTTGTTGTATATAATTATAAGACACCAGTAAAAAAAATGAAAGAAATAGATGTTTATATGTACCAAGAGATATATGCAGGATACATGTATAAGACTGTTCGTAAGAGCATCATTCCTGATTGACAAACAACAAAACAATTTACATACCTAACCACAGTGAAATGAATATACAAGCAGTTATATTCATGTGGAATAGTAAAAATTATCAAACTATACATAGATGCAACAACATGGATAAATTTTAAAGACATCGTTGGGTGAAATATGTTTTTCCATTTATATAACATTAAAAGTGAAATTAAACCATAATTGTTTAGATGCACAATTTAGTTCTTTTTTTTTTTTTTTTTAAGATGTAGGTGAACACAGTACCTTTATATATTTATTTTTATATGGTGCTGAGGATCGGACCCAATACCTTACACATGCTAGGCAAACGCTTTACCCTGAGCCACAACCTCAGACCCCCTAGTTCTTTTAAAACAACAAAGAAAAGCAAGAACTTGAATTCTGCAATAGCTGGGATGGTGGGGTTCAAGGGGATGTGTTGAGAGAGAGGTGTGTGGAGCTTCTATCTAGAGTGTTGTTGATATATTCTTTCTAGTGACCTGAGTTGGGTTACAAGGGCATCCCTTTTACTGTAACTCATTAAGCTCTACATTTAACTTTTTATGTGCCTTTCTAATATTTGTTATGGTTCATAATTTTTTATACAAAGGGCATAACTTGAGTTGTCAGGCAAGGGCCAACCTGTTCATAGGGCACAGAAGGGCCAGGAAGTGGCCCTCTAAGTTGGGCTTGCCTGGAAGGAGGAGGAGGAAGAAGGACAGCTGGTATCTGTGGAGCACTTATGTGCCAGAGTTCTAACCCCTTTTACCCTATGAGATAGATATTGTTGTTATCCCCATTTCAACCAAGGAAATTGATATACAGAGAAGTGAAAGAAAATAATTTATTCAGCATCAAATAGTAAGCAAAGGGTCGGGCCAGGGTTTGAATCTAGGCACTCTGGCCCCAAAGTCCATCCTTATCTGAGTATTTACTACTTTCTCTATTCTCATTTTTCAAGGCGATTTTGGTCTTTGGCTTTCATCTCTTTTGGAGTTATAAAAAGAACCATGGCTTATGGCTTCAAGGTTTTTACATGGTTCCCAAGGAAGGTTGGTGAAGAGTGAAGAATCATATATTTTTCTGCCCAATTCCCTCTTAGTGGAAGACAGATTCAAATTGATTCAAAGTCAACTTTAACTTAGAACCGATATTTCAGTTCACCTAGCATTTTTTTTTTTGACTGTGCCTATTTGATTCCATATTTAGCTCTACCTTCTTCTTGCTCTCATAGAATATTTAATGGCCCATGTTTGCATTGGTCCTAAAAGGGAAAGACAACAGGGAAGAGCTGAGCAGAGGTCTTCACAGTGGTCAATTACTGTTTTCTTTAGGGAGAGTTTTCATTACAGTGGGCACACCACATTACTGAAAGTATTTTGGAACCTTAGGAAGATAACTTTGGAATTAATACCTGTTTTACTTTCTTTCTTTTAGTGTGAATAATTTTAAGTTGAAAAAAAGATTCTAATTACAGATAAGATGGAGTAAGTGTATTTACTCTCACTAAATACAGCTGGAGGCCTGCACAGAATGCACTTAACAGCTATTGGAGGATTCTAAAACATAAATAGTAGCAGAATGAGAAGAATACCAGAATTTAGTTTATTAACAAGCTGGAACTATATTTCCATTTTTCTCCAGTGCCTCATGTCCTGGACTCAAGGCAGCCTAAAACCTAACAGTGAACACTAGGCTTCCAACAGTTCCAGAAAAAAGACCTCTAGTTGTGACTTCAGGGTGGGGAAAGGTCTTCTATGGTTCAGATAATGCGAAGTTCCATGGATTGTTCCCCCGCTCCCCTTCTCATTTCCCTCAGGCTCCAGCCCACAGTGGTGGTGGGGGTGGGAGTGATGATAGTTGCAGCAGTAGGACCTTTAGGTACCTAAAACCCAGGAAAGGGAACCCTCCTTTCTGATCAGAGAAGCTGTAGTCCCAAAAAGGTGCATTGCAGTTTGGGGTTGCTTTTTTCCCTCTGCCTTCCTGTAGCTTGGCCCCAGATTTGGATACAGTTCAGGAAAATCATAGCAGAATGTGGGAACTAAAGTGCCAGCTTCCTGCCAGAGGACTAAGCAGGAGAGGACCAAGGAATCAGAAAGCACCTTGGAGAAAATAGGGAGGAGGTACTCAGAAAGCAGTCCCCATAATTTGCGAACTGAAGTGGGACAGACCACTGCCAAAGCCCCAAACAGGACACTGGGTGGCGCACACAGAGGAGACATCTGAATAGGCTTTGAAAGTGGAACTGACATTGAAACCACAATCCACAGAGGCTGGTCAGAACTTGCTGCCTCAACCCAACCTGCTCAATTGTCTGCTAAAACAAAAATAACATTCTCCACTGGATTTAAACAAGACCTAGAGTTTCATAACATGATATTCAAAATATTCAGGATATGAGCCAAAATTAATCATCATAAGAAGAACCTGAAAAATCTCAACTTGCATGGGAGAAGACAACCAGCAGATACCACAGATGTTGGAACAGTCTGACAAAGACTTTAAAGTAACTATTATAAAAGTGTTCCCCAAAATAAGGGCAAATGCTGTTGAAACTAATGGGAAGTCTTAGCAAAAATCAATTTTTAAAAAATGCAATAATTTCTTTAAAATGCACTAAATAGCAAAATGGGAACAACAGAGAAAAGAGGATTCTTCAGAATAAAGCAATAAAAACAGTTCAATCTGAACAACAGAAGAAAAAGATTTTAGAAGTTGGAACAGTGACCTGTTGGCCAACACTAAAAATTTTATTATCTGTGTATTGGAATTGATTCGTAACAAATAATGTCAGCAAACTCAGAAAGGAACTTTTAAAATTTGATGTAAAGCACTACAAAGAACCTACAGCAAACATCATACTTTAATGGTGAAAAACTGCTTTCCCTCTTAACATCAGAAATCTCCTAGAAGTCTCAGAATACAGTAAACCAAGAAAAACAAAAAAGATACAAGTTGGGAAGGAGGAAATTAAAATAACCCTCCTCACAGAATATGTGATTACCTATGTAGAAAATCCCAGGTAACCTGGTGTGGTACACACCTATAATCCCAGGCAAGAGAATCACAAGTTCAAGGCCAGCCTGGGCAACTTAGACTTTTGGCAATTTAGCAACATCCTGTCTGAAAATAAAAAGGACTGGG